ATCAAATAATCTTTCAGTTTGAGGGTAAGTTTCTAGTAAAGCTAAAATTACCTGGTGGTGGTCTTCAGAATGAGATAAGGGACTTGGAGGAAAAATGATACATATATATATATATATATACACATACATACATATATATATATGTATATAAAAATATATATAAAATAATATTTTATATATAAATATAAGATTTTATATATATATATTCCACAGAACACATACCGAGAGCTGGAACTGTGTCAAGGTTACACCAAGTTTAGAGTTTAGAGTTTATTTGTATTTAACCGCTTATGTGAAACTTCGAATGAACATAATCTCTACAGTATTCTGTACTTAAGATTTCCACCTTTCATTTCTTATATGCCCAGACTGTTAAGATTTTCAAAAGCCACCTTAGTGGTTTTTCTTTTTTCTTCCAAAAACTTTATATTCAGGAACCCACAATCGAAAGCTAATGTTCATGGAGCATGCCACAAATGTTCATAGTTTCCTCTTATTCAAATTTATTCAGACACAGTTAATCTAAATCTCCTCAAATATCATCTGACTAAATCTTCTCTCTGACCTTTTCAATGCATTCCTTAGTCCTACATGTGACATACATCTTCACCGGGGCATCTCCCTATATTTAATTAAGACTATTGTAAACATAATAAATGCTTGTGCTTGGCAAAACACCTTATTCTCCATCTACTGCAGTAGCATGAGACGTACCTCAGTTAAAAACTCAAACTCACAGAAAATATCATTTGCTATTTTCTCTAAATAATAATCATTTTTATTTTTCTGTAAAATCTGCCCTTCTATTCACTTCCCATTAGCCAATTTTGAAAGCAGTCCTGCGGCAGACTAAAAGAAGCTATAACATATCCATGCTATGCTTTGCTTTTTCTATGCTTCCAAAAACCACTCACACAAATCCATCCTAATACTTTATAGTTACAGCTCAGATTTACAAGCTAAACAGCAGAGCTGATTGATAAGTAAAGCTGATCTCACCTTTGCAGAGGTTTCAAACCATCCAGTGAAGCCATGCTCTTTGCAGAATTGGTCCATTTGGGGAAGATTCTGGGCACTGTCCTTTTTCTGGTCACATTTGTTCGCTAAAAGGACAGCAGGAATAGGGCTGCCATTTGGAAGATGAACTTTACTATCCAGATCACTTTTCCATTTTAAGACTGCCTCAAATGTGGAACCTCTTGATACATCAAAGACCACAAAAGCACCAACAGCTTCCTTGTAATACACTCGGGTCATGTTGCCAAACCGCTCCTGCCCTGGAAAAAAATATAATAAGAAATTAAAACTCGTAAGTCAGATGGAGTTTATATGTAGGTATAACCAATCCCAGTGACCATAGAAGAATACTATAAACAAATATCTCTCATTCCATACCAAAATAAACTGGTGGGATTAAGGATATCCACACAGAACCATGATCTGTAAAACAAAAGTGGCTGAAATTTGGTTTGAATGTGTAATTAACTACTTTTATGGTCCGTGCATGTACAACACATTCTCCATAAACATCAGTATAACAGTAGGTCAAGCTACAAATCCATCATTCCTTCCTCCTCTCCCCTGGGTCTAAGAGAGGCACTAAATGAGAAAAAAAGAAAGCTGGGAGTGGAGGAAGAGAGTCAAGAATAGAAGAAAATGAAGCCTGCAGGAAGAAGATAAGTGCACAGCGGAAAATGCCAGTCAAAAAGATTAGGACTGGACACGAGAGGAAGCAGCTCGTGTTCTCAATGCATCTCGCCTTCATATGTGTAGACTCTACCCGCTTCTGACTCAATGTACAAGATTGGTGTCCTCTAAGAATCAGACACATAAAATGTATTATTTCAGAATAGAAAGTGGTACAACTGCTTGTATTATAACAATAAGGATCAGTTGCACAGTTTTTCAAATTTCACTGTGCTTTTTAAATAATTTATTTAAACACTTGGAAAAAAATCAACTGTTTCACATATTATATATGACTTTGCAATGCATTCTTTGACTATCTGCTATCACACTAACCTATGACATAGGAAGGACCCTTATCTTCATCTGATAGATGAAAAAACAGGCAAAAAGATGGTTGGCCAGGATTACAAAACGGTAGGACAGACTAAAGAAGATAGGAGTTTATTCCAGGTCTTCTGACTACCACATGCCTGTGGAAATAGGATACTAGTTATTCTGAACTATATTATAGTTGCCTTGACTTCTAAAGCTCATACCTTCAGGCTGCCATATTATTGTACTGGCTAGAGTACGAGGGAGAAATGGACTGCCAATGAAAGCAAATCTAAAATTTATAACGTTTTGATCTATAATAAAGATAGTATGATAGGCCACTTTCCTATTAAAATACACAATGAAAAACAAGCTTTATCTACAATTTACTGGTACATTTCATCGATATTTTATTTGTGCAAATGCAAAACTACTGAAAAATATAAACTACTTTCTTCTCCAAACTCTACAGTGCCATTATACAAATTTATAAATTGGTTTCTGGAATAATGGAAGAAGAATACAACTGTCAAGCTTAAATGGATAAACTTAAGGTTTGTTTTCCTTGTGATAACTCCCCATATGTGTTTACCTGAAATGGCCCTGGATTTAATTATAGCAGATGATCATATATGAAATCCCACTATCATGTTCATATTTTATTGTTAAAATAAATCTGAACAATCAACTATATAGTTTATTTGATCATGATGCTGACATTTATAAAAAGTTAGCATTACATCATTTTCCATAAACATACATTTAATAATCACATAGGACATGCTCACAGAGGATATACCAACAGTTCAAAGGCACTATCACTAATCTTCAGAAAGACTATATAAACATATGAAAATGGTTCAGATCCCAATTTCAACCACAGGGCAGATATTACCGAGCACACCTATTTTTACAAAATCTTTAAATGTAATTTTAATTGACAAATGTAATTGTGTGTGTGTGTGTGTGTGTGTGTGTGTGTGTGTGTGTGTGTGTGTGTATATATATATATATATATATATATGATATAATCTGATGTTTTGATACATATATATGTTGTACAATAATCAAGTCAGGGTAGTTTAGTGTATCCATCACCTCAATTATTGAATATGAAAGAACTATGGCGACAAGAAGAATTAGCCTCATTAAGATAGTCTTAAATTAAGAAAGATTTAAACCTTAAGATTACAAGATAATTACAGGTAATAAAGTATTCCTTTTAACCATTCCTTTAATTTAGAAAAGAAGGTGGGATGCCAAA